GTCTCATCCAAAAAGAGGTAAAATTGAGACTTAACATAGACCTTTCTCAAGAATTCTTTCTGGTGCAATTTGCAGCTAAGGAGGATTACAAACATGCTTTGTTTGAAGGACCTTGGATGATTGCCGATCACTATATAGTAGTTCAGAGATGGCGCCCTTTTTTCACCTTCACAGCAACGCAAACCCGTAGAATTGCTGCTTGGATTCGGATCCCAGGTCTCCCTATTGAGCTGTTTAATGACAGATTCCTCTGGAGGGTAGGGAATAAGCTTGGAACAATGCTAAAGATAGATAAACTTACATCTATCCAGTCACGTGGTCGCTTCGCTAGGATCTGTGTGGAAATTGACTTGCAAAAAAAGCTGGTGTCACAGATTAATGTTTTAAGCCACATCCTCCGCCTGGAATATGAAGGTTTGCATTCTGTTTGCTTTACCTGTGGCAAATACGGTCATAAACAACAGAGTTGCCAAAACCAAATCCAGGTTCAGTCTGTGGAACACAATGTCTCTACAAATCCAAACATGGATGTGGATGATGATACCAACAACACAATGCCTACTAGACGATCCCAGACTTATCAGGAACACATGAACTCGAATCAGTTAAGCCTCATGACCCGCCAGGAGCGGAGGAAAGGTATGGGCCATGGATGATAGTTAAAAAGAATAAAAAACCCAGAAATCGCGGTTTACCTTCAGTAGGTAATCAAAAGCAGATTGGTCCATCTATTCCAAATTCAAGGATGGGGGTGGTTTTCGTTGCTTCGGAGAAACCCAGGGAGGAATTGGAATATTCTCATGGAAAAACAGAAGGCAAAGCAGTGACGAGGTCTCAGGAAACACAAGGTGGGGCCCTCAACGTAAATTCACATCAAAGTGTGATGAAGATTCGCAATCAGGGAGGTGGCAAAAACCCTCAAAGTGTACGTGCTAAAGATTCAGATCTCTCGACACCAAAAAGGTCAACAGGAAAGGGCCCACATGTTACACTTAACAGAAACAAAGGTTTTGACCTTGAAAACGAAAAAGGACGTCCAACGACTAGTGCTGCATGGGCTTCTGAGCAACATGCAGTACGTGAAACCGAGAATACCTTTAAAGTTCTGGAGGGATTAAATAATATTCCAAAAGACTTTAAAGAGTCCCCAAGAAAAATATTTGATGTAGCGACGCATGTCCAAGGACCTGATGAGGAGACTTTAGCTTTCGCGTATGCACTGCGACAACACTTCAGGGGCGAGGGAGCCCATTCCTCCACAATGTTGGAAGAGAGGCCTGCTAGGCCGGATACACATACAGATGTAGAGGGTTTGAAACCCAACTCCTACAACACCAAATAATGAATGTCCTAAGTTGGAATTGTAGGGGTACTGGATGCAAATCCTTCATCCCTCTAATAAATGATCTAATACAAGAGCATGATCTAAGTATCGTTTGTTTACTTGAAACTCAGGTTAGTAGCGTTCGGGCGAATCAAATTATTCGTCGTATCAATATGGACAGTTCGGTGGTGGTTGAAGGTAGAGGTCGTGCTGGTGGCATTTGGTGCATTTGGAATTCAACTCATTGGAATCTCACAGTCCTTGAGAAATCTTTCCAGTTCATTCATTTTTTGGTCTCTGGTGCTACTCAAACTTGGTTTCTTACGGTGGTCTATGCTAGTCCCCATTCGCAAATTAGGGTTGGTCTTTGGAAAGATTTAAAACGTCTAGCAGCTTCTATGGGCGCACCTTGGTGCGTTATAGGTGACTTCAATGCTGTGTTACACGACCATGAAAGGAAGGGTGGTGTTTCTACATGGCTGAGAGGGGATCAAGACTTCAAAAATTTTGTTAATGAATTAAATTTGGTTGATATGGGGTTCCATGGTGCTCCATACACGTGGAAAAGAGGAAATATTTTTGAACGCTTGGATCGTGGCTTAGTCAACCTTGATTGGCAAAGGATGTTTCCGGAGGCTGATGTGTTTCATTTAAACCCTCTTAAATCTGACCATTCTCCCATCTTGGTCAATTTAAAATCCTCCGTAAGTTATTGTAGAGGGAGACGACCTTTTCATTTTGAGGCCGTTTGGCTCACACATAAGGACTTTCCAAATGTGGTGAGACGAAGCTGGTCGGAGCATAACGAATGGTCCAACAGAGTCAGAAACGTCCAATGCTCCTTGACTAATTGGAATAGATCAACTTTCGGGAACATATTCTTCGCCAAACGCAGATTAAGGCAACGTTTGAATGGTATCTCCTGTAAGCTTATGCAGGAAGCAAACTCTTTCCTTGTCAACCTTCAAAGACGACTCTGGGCAGAGTATGAACAAATCCTTGACAGGGAAGAGATTCTTTGGTTCCAAAAATCTAGGTGTAAATGGCTGGAACTGGGAGATAGAAATACTAAGTATTTTCATGGAACGACCCTTATTAGAAGACGCCGGAATAGGGTGGTTACACTTCAAAATGATGATGGTATGTGGGTTACAGGGAAAAGCAACCTTGAAGACATGATAAAAAATTTCTATAAGTTGCTTTTCACGGATCCAGGTGACTATGAACAATTCTATTTATCAAACTCTTTCC